GCTGCTGGCAGTGTGTGCAGGGCTCCAGGCGGTGAGGACAGGTGACGCTCAGGTGTTCCTGCAGCTCTCTCCTCGGCAGCGCCGCCCTGCAGCCTGGGTTGCAGCATTGCAGCGTCTCAAACTGACACGACCTCAGGTGCTCCTGCAGGGGAGGAAGACATGGAAGATAAAACACACCTTCAAAGAGCTCCACGCGACCAGAGGTGGGATTCATGTGTGCTGATAAAGCATGAACGTCTGGGTCTCAAAAGTGAAGCCAATGCATACGTTTTATGCTTTCGCCTGTATCTACTTGTCTTTCATCCTTTCTTTATAACTAATGCTGTTGATGTATTGTGATTTTAAAAAGGTGTCCATTATCATCTGGCCGAGGACAACAGCTGGAGATTAGCAATGTTGGCTAAAGCTGCCCCATTTACAGTTTTTTTGTGACAGTTGGTCAATGGACTGTCCTCGACACTATAAACAAATAAACTAGTGTCCTAAACCTGCAGTCTTTCATTTGGCCAGAAGGGGGAGACTCCACTGGTGGCAAAAATAAATCCAATTGTGTAGAAGTCTATGAGAAGATGATCCTACTTCTCACTTTATTACCTCAGTGAACATTTTCCTCACAATTTTATGATCTCAATCGCTAGTTTCAAGTCTTCTTTAATTCAGCATGTTGTTTGTTATGTACATTTTGGTCAAATTTAGAGTAAAATAGACAATAAAATCGATGTATATTTAAGGGCCGTGGCTAGTTGTTATTGACAGGTCGCTACCTCAATGTTGGGTTTAGGGGATCTCTGTGTTTACGTCTTTAACTAAAACTAGTGATGTGAAATTCGCGAATGATCCCATTCTTTTGAACGGCTCTTTGGTACGAACGAAGGGAACCGAGTCCTACTTGGTGAGAGCCGTTCTTTGTATTGTTGGTTCACTGCCTGCCATAAATCCACTCGCCTTTAAATGAACTTGCTTTCCTGATTGCACATTTGCCGTAGATGATGGCATAACGCTGCTTGAGCAGTAGTTTGGCTGGATGAGAGATGAAGCAAGTTATACATTTTCTGTGAGTAAAAGTAGATTTCTGGCAATACAGTCAATCATTATCCTGGTGATTATTTCGCAGATAAACCTATTAACCCCACCCCCTTAAAAAAAAAACGGCTCTTTTGAACGGCTCTCGGAAAGGAACGGAGCCATAAGATCCAGCTCCCTTTAAAGAGCCGTAATTCCCATCACTAACTAAAACCCTGTGTGTTTTCAGTTCTTTAGAAGTTCAGTGTAAACACGTCTTTTTCAGCATTCAGTTTTGTCACTATTGGTTCTAAAAAAAAGGTGACAGATAAAATGCTAAACGTATGCCTTCAAAACCATTGTCAACAAACTAAAAACTGACATCACGGTGACTACGCCCACTTTGCACAGTCTTTGCTCCGTACATATTCACACATAATGATCCATACACATCAGGCTTCAGACTGCAGTGTTGATATTTGTTTGTCTACCTGCAGGTGGCGTAATGTGACGACAGAGGTGCATTCTGGGGAGTTGGTGCAGTACACGTCTAAACAGGCGATTTCTCTTTTGCAGCAGTTATCCTGGAAAACCTGCAGGGAGGAAATGTGTTTGTTATTTAACAGAGAGAAAGTAAAACCGTAAACTGAGTCTGTTAGTTCTGGATGTGGAAATACATTAAACATTTCAACTTAAAACCTGACGATGTTTAAATGTTCTTCACTTCTTTTGACTAAAGTACTTGTGGTGAGCTGAGTGAATGGGTCTGACCTCAGATGGTGTGATCACAGCTGCGTCCACGGGACAAACTGGGCTGGACGGAGATGAACTCTCTCTGAAACACAAAGCACATTGATGTTCATACAAATACGCTTTTGCTTTTTACTTCATTCATTATTTTGGCTGTGTTATATGGCATACATTTTGACAAGAGTGTGATCTTTGGTTTGCATTTTGAGAGTTCTGCTGCTACAATAAGTCTGTAAAAACGTTATCACCAAAACACAGACTATCGGATCCTTAAAGTCAAAATGTCCCACCCCAATAACAGCTTTTATTATGTCAGGCTTTCAATCTAGAGCCCTCGCTTCAAAATCGTGTATTTGAGTATTTTCCACCCGATTAAGACCTTTTCTGATATGGGGCAATTACATGCTATTTCCCTGGTTTCCTGTAAGGTAATTTTTGCAGTGTTATGTGTTAAATTAATTTAGTTGAATTTGATAGAATGTAAAGAAAAATCTTTACGCTTTTCATGTTATTTATGGGGATTTTCCATTTTGGCATTATGTGAAAAAGAAACTGGCATTTAAAAAATATTCTGTATTTTCTGAACTCTGAAAATTAGAAAAAGCAATTATGACCAAGACTGAAGCTGGGCAATTCTTTTTGACATGGTCATTTTTACTTCTAAGGATTTACGACCAACATTTGATTTAAATTTGAGACCTTAAAATAGAGTTGAAATTGCTATCACTGTAACATATGTAACTACAGAAACTGTGTCTAATATGATTGAACATTGTGTATTTGCTCCTACAGCAGGTGTTGGAGGCAGAGGAGGCAGAAGATGTGTCCGCAGGAGTTCTGCTGGGGGTTCAGGACCACTCCTCTGCAGATCGGACACACAAACTCCTCCTTCAGCTCCAGCACAAACTTCAGGGAGTGCTGGAGGGAGGGCAGCTCCGACTCCCAGGAGCTCAGCTTCGACTCCTCCGACCGCCTCACTGAATCCAAACTGGACTCCTCGGATCCTCCCAGCTTTGTGTCTGCTGTCGCCATGAGTCTGCAGAGAACAACCTGCTCTTATTACTACTGAGTGAATATCATAGGAATCAAGTTAAAGGGCTGTATTCAACAGATCTTGTACTTCAGTAAAAGTAGAAGTACCAGAGTGTAGGAATACTCTGTTACAAGTAAAAGTCCTGCGATCAAAATGTTACTCAAGTAAAATTACAAAATGATAAGCATCAACATTAAAGTACCACAAGTAAAAGTAGTCATTATGCAGATTGGTCCATTTCAGGATATGTTCTGATTATAATTATTGATGCATTAAAGTGCCATGAGTCTGCAGGAGGCAAAATCACAACAGGTGATGATAACATGTAATGATAATTCTTATTTGAGTGTTTTTAAATTATACATTTAATCCATCTGTTGTTTCTGAGATCGGACACATGGAGGAATTTGGGCTGATTGTAGTAATTAAACATCTTTGAGATCTCCCCTTTCCACATTATATGATTTTAATTTCTCTTGTCACCCTAACTTAGGCAAAGTAACAGCAATTGCTTACAGATGTTTGCCCTGCGTTTTGCCTCTAAGGCTACCCAAAGGCTATACTGTCCATAGTATTATATACAATTAAGAGTATTCCTTATGCGTAATAGCCCATTTCAGAATAGTACATATTGAGTTAATGGTTACGATGATGTTATTGAGGTTTTTGTATTACAACTGGTAAATATAGAGGTAATTTATATAACTTTGTATACTGCTGCTGGATATCTTAAACTATAAATATATGTCAAAGTCTATCTTATAATTGATTTAGATTTTGTATGTGCTAATAATCTTAACCTAAACAAGTAACTATAACAAAAGCTGTCAAATAAATCTAGTGGAGTAAAAAGTATACTATTGGCTTCTAAAATGTAGTGGAGTAGAAGTATAAAGTATAGCATAAACTGAGAATACTCAGGTAAAGTACAAGTACCACAAATTGTACTTAAATACAGTGCTTGAGTTAATGTACTTTGATACTATCCACCACTGCCAGCAACTGTGTCAGCAAAAAAATTGTTATACTATAAAAGTGAAAGTAGCTTACTCAGCAGCATGGCTCCTGTCAGTGCTGTCACACGTGCACATGATGCACGTGCAATCATGCGTGCAGTTAGACATTATTGTGTAATAATATTTTTGCATTATCATTATAACTGCGACATAAATCAATGTATTCAGTAAAGCACGTAACTTGTGTGTGTGTGTGTGTTTTTGTGTTTGAATGAGATCAGTCTGCAGGGGAATCCCCGCAGCGACCTCTCTAAACAATTAAAACCTCAAAATTAAACTTTAAACTGACATAAATAATTGATTGATTGCACTTTAATGACTAACTAACTGCATGTGCGTTTTAATCAGTTTAGACGTTGACCCTGTGGTTAGTTTTAAAGTCCTTGTGATATCGGAGCTGCTTTACTTTCACTTTCCTCAGACATAATGTCATACAGTATGTCAAGTTTGGTGCATTTTCTTACCTCAGTTTCTGAAATATCAGTGAAGTCCCTTGAACACATCACACACTGCAGTTTGTGAGTCACTGCAGATCAATATGTCCGATCGTAATCGATTATCTGCGGTCCATACGCAGCGGCAGCGGAACAGGAAATTATAACTCCAGGAAGTGACTCAACGTCAACAACCTGCTCTATTTACTACTGAGTGATTACCATAGGAATAAAGTAAACGGGCTGTATTCAACAGAGGTGGAAGAAGTACTCAGATCTTTAAGTAAAAGTAGAAGTACCAGAGTGTAGGAATACTCTGTTAGAAGTAAAAGTCCTGCAATCAAAATGTCACTCAAGTAAAAGTACACAAGTATCAGCATCAAAATATACTTAAAGTACCAAAAGTAAAAGTACTCATTGGGCAGATTGGTCCATTTCAGAATAATATGTATGATATGTCTTGATAATAATTATTGATGCAAGTGTTATCAAAGCTGGTAAAGGTGCAGCTAGTTTTATTGACTTTACTCCAGGTATAACTAAAGCATTATTTAATTTTCATTCACTTTTACTATTTTACTGGAATATATTTAAGTGGATAAATCATTATATTGTTGATAATGTTATGGGGTTATGTGTAATTTGACTTTCTTTCTATCAAGCACAAATGGAAATGTTTATGTATCTCACATATTGCAATAATTGCTTTTCAAATTAAGGGAGAAAAGGAAAAAAAAATCCACATATGAAAAATAGAAACAGTGAGATGGTACAAATGTTGTTTTTTAATGAGACGTCTCAGCAGCGTTATTTTAATAGCAATATTTCACAAGTGCTACTGAAACTCCAAGGACTCTATGACTCCAGAAACATTTAACGTGCTTGTCCAAAAAGCATTAAGAGCACTTTCACAATGATATTTTACACCAAGTCCAAACTGGTAGCACCAGGAAGAAGAAGAATAAATAATGAAAGGACAGAAAGACAACACATCTGAAGCCCAGATGACATTTAGAATTTTAAAATTATGAACAACCTTTCGGAAAAACCACAGCTACTCTGAGAACATAACTACAGAACACTTAGCGAACATTTTAAATTTGGCTGATGGAGACTTTTCTACACTGAAGGGGGGAAACTTTAGTGTTTAAAAAAAGCATCGAATCAAATACAAGTTAACAAATAGTGACAGCTGATTGGATGGACAGCAGGTTAGAAATTATTAAGAGAAACCAAACTGTACACGTAGATGCTAATGCTAATGTAATGTACACAACACTGAGGCATTCAGTTAATTACTTTACGAGAGGTGATTTACCAACCATGGATAATTATAATAATGGTTATATTTCATGTTTCTTCGACTCAAACCACGGTACTAAAATAGTATTATTATGTGTATCAAAGCGTAGTTTATCTTGTACCACTGAAAATACTCCCTACAAATGTACCTTTTCCTCCCCTTTGTTTGTCAAAAACATGACACTTTAGATATATAGCTGTATGATGTAGCTGAGAGCCACAAACTGAAAGTAAAATAGTATTTAGAGGCGTACCAACACATTCTTGGTTTGAGTCTAAACATGATATTTGACGACAGAAGGAAAAATACACCAGACTGATTCTTTAAAACATGAGCCCCAAGTTTCCCCTTATTTATTCTAAGCTTTAAGATCCAATGGATTAAAGATCATAAAACCCTTTGGAAAACATCAGATGTTTTCTAGTGATGATTAAGAAACTAAAATGTCATCAGAGACTAAATATACAGGGAAGGTGGAGGATACATAAATACCAAAATCTATAACGATGTTGAGTTTCTTAATGTAAGAAATGCCACTGATTCAAGATCCTAAATTAAAGTTATTTTAGTCTTTTAGATTACTTTAGCTTTAGAAAATACTACAACATCAAGCTTTAAGTATCTACTCTGCTACCGATTAGAGCTGATAAATAAATATCTCAATTTGAAATGTTTTTACAGGTCCAAGTGGAGGCATGATGATGGAGAAAAAAAGAAGGGGACCCAGGATGGAACCCTGTGGGACGCCACATGTGTGGTGACCGAAAAGGCTACATTTTACTGTAAAAATCTCACATTTCAGTACTAAGTGTCCATCAAACAGCGGGCCGGCTTCACGTTTTCTTAAGGTGATCTTGAAGATGATTTAGTAAAACCCAGAATACTATCTCTTTACCCCTCCTCACCTAAAGAACACGTACATTAAAAAAAAGCACGAGGTATGAACATATATAATTATGTGGTTCGAAAATCGAGGTTTGAGAACTGTGACACCCTTAGTTAATGTGTCACCTTTACAAGTAAACAAAAAAGGAAATCAGAAGCCTGAAAAAAACCTCTCATTGTTCTGAAGACTCAAGATTTCCCACGGGACCCTGAAAGCAGGAGCTTCAGATTTAACATTTGCTTTCCTCAGTGTCTTTAACAAATATGCTAAATGGACTGTATAGCGCTTTATCCAGTCTTTACGACACCTCAAAGCGCTTTACAAACTACAAGTCATTCATTAATCAACTTGTTTTGCCGCTCAAGCAATCTAGCATTCACACACATTCACACACAGTCGCCTGTAGCTGTTAAATCGTCAGTGGAGGGAGGAAGATGAGGTCTCTGATTGGTGGACGGCTAGGCCTGGGGGCTGCTGGGCGGAGCTTGGACCCGACCCGCCGGGGTTAATACCGCCGAGGCTCATGGGAGCTGGAGGTCGTGGGTTTAGACGAGGAGGAAGAGGGTTGGACGGGCGGATTAGAGGCGGCGGCTGCTGGAGGGTCGGACGAGGCTGCAGGAATCGAGCCTGTTGTTGGAGGGGCGGAGGCTGGCGGTGCAGGGAGGGTGTAGCGGGGAGAGAGGGCCTGAGGAGGGGAGGAGGCTGGTGGAGGGAGGAAGAGGAGGAGGTGGACGTCACGGGAATCTGAGCCGAGGAGGAAGAGGAGGCAGCAGGAGACGCACCTGAGGAGGTCACCTGACCCTGCAGAGAGAAGAGAGGGCGGGGTTATAAATACCTCACTGTCAATCATCTCAAACTGTCACTTAGAGCAGAGGTTAACAACATCAGGGACTTTGCATGATGATCCATAGGTAAAGTTAAAGTCAGAAATAAACTTTTTTTTAAATATCCGCTAGCTTTTAAGCCCTTCAAACTTATGAGAACTATTTATATCAGTCTCTCTTCATCTCTCAATGCCCAAAGAGATTTGTGTAGTTGTATTTATTGATAGGATATACACTAGAATAAATGTTGCCTCAGTTAAAACAAATGTATTAATTGCAAAGAGGCATCTTGCTTGCAGGTTTTATGGTAGATTTGTCCAGTCAATCGCTCATACACGATTTCATGGACAGAAAGCAACAACAAAACATGAGCATGGTGAAATGGATGATGGGAATTAAGTCTGTTTTACATTCAAACAGTTGCTTCTCAGCAGCAGTGTTTTAGTTTGTTTGAGTCTTTTGGAACCACCATACACTTTTTTCATTGTTATTTTCAACATCACAGGACAACGTAAAAAAAGTATAATGATCACTGCAGAAATAATCTCTCTAGAAGTTAGTTTTCATTAACAAATATGAAGTCAAACCTGGAGTGAAAGAAGTCAATCTAAAAGCAGATGGATGGAAGAAGATCAGCAGGATTGTGATTGTGGTGCATGCAGGTATTATCATTGATCCATTAGGCGCTCAATATGGGATATATATCATTTAAACCCTCCTCTCACCTCTTCGTCTTCTTCGTCGGTGCTCTTCCCTGACGGGGGGGTGGAGCTGGTCTTCCCCTCCTCTCCAGAGGTGGCGCTGTCTCCGTTGGGAGCGTGCGTTCCCTGCTCCGCCTCCCACTCCTGAAGCACCTCGTCCAGGTTGAACCGCCGCCGGTAGTTCACGAAGAAGTTCTTCACCTGGCCCACCGTCTTGTTACCGATGACGTCAGCGATGGCCTGGAAGTCTTTCCCATATTTCCTCACACCTGAAGGCAGAGATGGCAAAAGTACACACATCCTTTACTCAAGTAGAAGTACAGATACTCGTGTTCAAAAATACTGTGGTAAAAGTAGAAGTACTGACTAAACTTCTTGTTTTTAAATGTACTTAAGTAAAAAGTACCCGTAACTAGCAGCTGTTTTAAAGAGTACCTGACCTCCCTTTATATTAATAGAACAATAATATCATTGTTAGCTAATGAATGTTTCCATGCTGAACAACGGCAACATGACAACGTTTTCATTGGTCCCTCTTCTTTAGAGAAGACCAGGAAATGATGGATACACGGATCGTGTTCGAATCAATAGGCACGCAATGACTCTAAATAATAATGATCACGCCACCAAACACACATTCAAACTAAAGGAACCAGCCTGTTTGGAAAATGTAAGAAGTAGAAAGTACAGGTATTTGGGTTCAAAATGTAAGAAGTAGAAAGTACAGGTATTTGTGTTCAAAATGTAAGAAGTAGAAAGTACAGGTATTTGTGTTAGAAATGTAAGAAGTAGAAAGTACAGGTAGTTGTGTTCAAAATGTAAGAAGTCAAAGTAAAAAGTTGTCAGAAAAATAAGTAGTGGAGTAAAGTACTGATACCAGAAAAATGTACTTGAGTACAGTAACAAAGTATTTGTACTCCACTACTTCCCACCTCTGCCCGAAGGACATCACAGATCCTTGTAATGGACTTTTCAAGCTCCTTTTTAACACCTTTCTAACAGTAACCTGTGACCAAACTCACCTTGAACAGCCAGCAGCTGCTCGTCTGTGGTCCAGCGAGCGTTTACCTTCTGGTTACCCTGTAAAAACAACCACTGACAGTTATCTAATGTGTACAACCAAAGAGGAATTACAGATTTCATTCATATATATGTTTTGAATTAATAGAGAAATAAATGTGTTCAATGTTTGGTGGTGTCAATGTACCTCAGCCATTTTGAAATCTTCAATCCCAGCCTCCAAACTGTGTTTCATGCCGCTGTTCATCTGTTTGGCGTTCTGCACCTGAGAAACGAGACAGAAACAATCAGCTGAGCTTCAACAAAACTCACAAGTTTGACTCTCACTGATTCTCTGCTTTAAAGTGTAGCTTTAAAACCCTTTAAATGTCATTTGAATGCCTTTTCTTCAACTTTATTCAACTGTTACACAGTGTACTGATACCTGCAGGTATAACCAGTAGGGGGCGGTATACAGTAACATACAGGCACTGCACAGGACGACTCGGGGACACACCTGGGGTCTTTCACCTGTGCTCCAACAGATTTAGCTAACAGGTTCACTGGCCGTTTCTCAATGTCGAGTAAAGCTGCTCCAGAGCCACTATTTCAAGCATACTACGTCATCGAGTGGCGCCGAATCACTGTTTAAATGCCCAGCATACATGTGCTACCAAGCAAGCCTCCTCGACTTTGAGAAACGGCCACTGCTTGAGTTTAATGAATGAATCAATGAGAAGCAGACATGTTTCCTGTGATGATCTCTGACTGTCTGGTGATGAGTAACTCTGTCTGTCAATAAAACATCTGTCTTAAAATGTATGCTCCTCATGAGCAGCAACATGCTAATGTTAGCATGCATTTGTTGATGTTTATGTGGTCTGGTTCTTTTTTGTGAAATTATTTAAAGGGAATCGCAGGAGATGTTCCAGTGCTTCATCATATGTAGATTTTCATATGTACATTTCTTCTGGGCACTTTTGTCAAACTCATTATTTAACTACTTTAAATCCTAGGACAAAAATGTCTTAATATGCTTAAAGAAAGACAGATGTACAATCCCAGGTTGACTGGTAAAACTGTACCTGCTGATTTGCTGAAGAACAACAGCGACTTTATTAAATGGTAAAATTGTTTTGTAAAATCAACAACATAATCTAAAAAAAAACCTCATTGTCACACAGTAAGTCACACTGGTCAAAAATAAACCCTTTCCACTCTGCTTCAGTTGTTTCATTTTTACCCTGTTGCTGTTAAACTACTGAATTTCCCCACGGGGATTAATAAAGCTCCATCTTATCTCTTATCTTATTGGGCGCCTCCCACCTGTCTCTTGAGGGACACCAGCTCCATGTCCAGCTGTCGGAGCAGGGTGTTTGCTGCGGAGGCGCTGCAGGACACGGCCCCCACGTCCTCCTGGGTCAGGTACATGCCTTTGGGGGGGCGGCAGCGGGAGCGCTGGTGGTGTCGGTGCTGCAGCGTCTGATGCTCCCGCCGACCCAACGCCACCTTAGAGCCCGGGACCACCGGCTCCACCTGGTTCTGCTGGGAGACACAGAGCGGCTCCATTTAAACTGCAGCCTCCCCCTCCCTCTGGAACTCCCTTCCCAGTCACATCCGAAAGGCCAACACTCTTGAACCCTTCAACAAAATCTCTCAAAACTCACTTATTCACTCTCGCTTTCAAACTCTGATCAACAGCCTTTTTTACACAGAGTTTTGAATATTTAACTAAGAATATTATGAACAATATGATTGCTTGAAGTCTTTAGTTTTTGATCTTATCCTCCCTGTTTAGTAACTAATGGACTATTTTAGTATTATTCCTTGACATGAGAACATAAAAAAAAAGAAAAAGAGAAATGTATTAAAGTCCCATCATAGTTGAACTTCCTGTAATGAGTGTGTCAGGTGTGTTTTTGTCATGGCAACAGAAGCTCAGGTGTGTCCACATACCTCTTTCTTGGCTTCCTTGTTGGGGTCGTAGTCGCTGTCGTGGGCTTCGATGGGAGCGGCCTCCTCCATCTCCTCATCACTACGGTTACAACAAAAATAAGTCAAACATAAATAGGTACACTTCATTATAACAACAACATAAACACAGACAGCTTTGAACCGAGGCACACCAGAGAAGAAGACTCAGATAGTCTCAGATATATACAGAACATGTCTCTGAAGTGTTTGGCTGAAATACCAAACAGATCATGGCAGCATCCCATAATCCCCTCTGTTTCAGCCCTGTTTCAAAAGTGCTGATTCTCTGTCTGTTACTTTAGATGAAAATAAGGAGCCCCTCCCCACGCCCCTCTGAGAGATATTTGGTTAAAAAGAACTCAATGGTGCTCTAGGAGGAGATTCAGGTGATAAGGTGGGGGGGGTTACCTTGGTTGCTGATTGGCTAATGGTTACACAAGCCAAAACATCATTATGACATCATAAAGTGGCCAAAATCTGATCAGCTCATTTTCAGACAGGTTTTTATATACATGGATCAGGACAAAAAGAGAGAGAATCTTTGTTCCTGAAACTTTCAGAGTCTCTTTACACAGAGGGGACACATGTTGATGTAGAAGAGACATGAAAAAATTGATTTTGCATAATAAGTGACCGTTAATTCATAGATTTAAATAAAAAATCACCACTGACAGTGAATACCTGTCGTCCTGGTTGCTCCGGTTAGCCAGTTTCCGAGCCTGCCGGTCCATCAGACTGGTTCTGGAGCGAGTCTTCTTCCACGAGTAGTAATACTTCACCAGACTGGAGATGGACTTATCTGGTAACTGAAGGAAACACGATCAAGTTTAACACTCTCAATCTCTATGTACAATCTAAAGAGGTCTCTCTCTCTTCAGAACAGAATTAGCAGCAGCAGAACGCCTTAATAACCTACTTTTCATATCTTTATATAGCCTTCCTTCGATTAGTTTTAAGCTCAATAGCAAACACAGATAATATTTGACCGGAATATCTCACATTTTTCGGGACATTGAAATCTTCCTGGACATGTTGACCTGCAAAACATATTTTTAAACTCTGGTAATAACTCTGTACTTCAGACAAAGTGTTTACCATCTGCTGGATGCGGTGGAAGCTCTTCCCGTGGAAGCTGAAGGCCTGCTCGAACAGAACCTTGTCCTCCACCGTCCACTCGTCTGGAAACGGGGTGAAGTTGGGCAGGTCGGCCAGAGACTTCTCTATGTTGTGTTTGTGCCAGAAGAGCATGCCGAGCGCCTGAACACACAATAAATACACAATTAATACATCGGAACGTTTCTGCAAACCATCAGAGCAGTACCATCTAGTTCATCATCACAGTTATTATTAAACGTCAGAGGAATTATCAATGATTTATGTTCAGAGTGGCTTCACAAGGTGCTTCAGGATCAAATTAATTGTTCATCAAAAAGGAAGATGATGGCTGGAATGTTAATTAAAAGAATAATTAAATTCATAACTCATGGTCATTTATCATTTCACCATTGGTTGATATTTTATGGAACACTTTGTGACCTAGGCCTGTGCAATAATTCAAAAATGATTGTACAATTGAATCATGGTGAATTCATATATCGAGGTATATTGAGTGAAATAAATTGAGGGAATATAATTTTAAGCCTTTTTTCATTTAGCTCTATATTTCTTAATTAAATGACAAATTGCCACATACTTATCATTTATCAAGTATTTAATTCACACCAGAGGATTCAACATGAGGCTGTGCTGTGCTGGCTCTCACCTGCTCCACGTTGTATCCATGTTTCTCTTTAGCTAAAGCGATGTATTCGTCCACTGTGGAGGAAAACACACACCGTTAGAGTCTGATCTGAGGACCTGATAGAGGACTGTAGAAAACAGGAAGTTAACTTACATTTTGAGTCGATGATGTTGTGATATGGAGACCAAACCAGCATCCCGCCGCTGTCTTTATCCGTGTACTTAGTGGAACCTGTATACACATAAAAAACATCACATTCATGAAACTTTTTAAAGTCTAAAAAACACATTCAATTCAGTTTACTCATCACCACTCTGCTAGTGAACACTTTGTAAAATATATTTGTATGCTTTGGATGGGGCAGTCCAAATGTTAAAAACAGCAACGTGTTAAAAACAGCAACATCCCTTGTTTTTGACTGGGGTTTTTAACAGGGGTTTGACCCATAATGCTTGGTTTCTGTAAAATAAAGTACTGCCAAGTGTGATCAGGACATTTCGGTTAATTTCTTTCAGAACGATTTTATTGCTTCAATTTGAAATATGTTTTATACAAATACACAGAATACGTTTTCACAATAAGAATTTTATTCAGTCAAGGAATACTGATTGCACCTTGAGCAAATATAATAAATGTAATATTTAGAGCATTGACATGTTCATGTTGACACTGTAAACGGGTCCAAAATCCACAAACTTAACTATGTAAATGTCACAATTGTTAAAAAAAACAAGGGATTCTTATAAAATCACTATATTTGTTTAGACTATTTTTAACACTCATATATCACTGTTGTTCACCTTCAGAACGTTGTCACATGTCTGTGTTGACAGCTAAAGTAAAGTAATGAAAACCAAATATATAATAAGAAAAGCCATTTTTTGTAATTGTCAGTGTGGGAATGAAAATGTTGGACTATATTAACTGTCTTTTGTAAAAGTTTATTGTTTTTTATTATTATTGTTATTATATTTTACCCGAGGCACTTTCATTTCACTCTGCTACACAACATATTATAAAAGTATTAAGTATATAAGGTGGGAAAATAGAGAAGACCCATTTAAACAAACCAGCTCCATCAAGCTTCAATAATTACAAATGTGTAAATGTTACAAGTTGTCAGTGAGAAGTTGAGGTATAGCCTCGGTTCATGTATCTGTCCTCAGGTTATAACACCGTTTAATAACACTGATTTAATGAACAAACAGCTGATATTAAGTGTTTTAACCGCCTTTTAAAACGCACCAACACACGCATGAAGCTGTGTATGTGTATGTGTATGTATGTCTGTGTGTGTAGTTAAAGGCTGTGTGTACTTGTTCGAGGCTATACCAACGTCCGTCACTCAGGTTGAAAACAGTAAAAAACTCACCGGGCTCAAACTCGGGAATGTTGGCTTGATAGTCTGCTCCAACCCGCATCCCCACATCTGGAGAAAAAACCATATCAGCATTCACATTTAAAAAATGTTTGTTCAAAAACGCGCACATATTACGGAGCGACAAGAGGCTGTTCGAGGCTATACTGACCGTGTTCGTCGTCGCTGCCACTTTCGTCAGAAAAATGTCCATTAGAAGCGTTGGACGGACTCTTGGTGCCGTTTGATCGACCTTTCCCCAAATACTCCGAGCCTTTATCCATCATTCCCGGCATTTTACCGATCAAATTGATCGTTTTAGAGCCTCTGTGTCTGGGTATAAAATGTCAGCAGGACCTGGAGGTTTTTCAGCTGCAGTTCCTTCAGCGGCCGCAGCTTCGTCCGTGTCGCTGTCGAGGCATTTCTTATCTTTCACCGCCTTACATACAGCCATTTCATGCTTTTAGAAGTCATAGATGACAAAAATAGGCTCTTCTTAATTCGAAATATTTTAATGTATATAATTATTCATTTGAAGGCGATGTTTTTATCCGTTTAAAGTGGTGGCTGAGTGGGGTCTAACCACCGCAGCGGAAGGCTTTTTACGCACCGTGGGGCAGGAGTGTGACTCCAGCTGCTGCGGCGCCTGACAGCAGATCCTTCCGCCGTCAAAAAAATTATAAACTGAAATAAAAAATTAAAACTAAATTCGAATTTCAAACTGAGATTAAACAGTAAGAAAACGTAAAATAAAATCAACACAAGCAAAATTGAGTCTGAATGATGTGAAAATGAAAGAAAATGCACATAAACCAACATGTAAACATCATAATTTTATATGATAAGATCTCGGATGTTTTTTCACGTTCAATTTGCTGACATTATAAAATGTTGTGAACTAAAATTGGTTGAATGTGGATAATTCAGCGTGTTTTATTTGTTTTTTCTGCTTGTTTAACAATCGATGTCCCTGCACTGACGCTTAATGACCAGCAGGGGGAGACACAGTTCAACAATCAGCAGAGAAAACCTTCAATTGTATTTAACACTAAACTCCTGCAGACACTGTTTATTCTGTCAGGCATGGGACAGATATTCAAACTCATTGTCATTGAAATGCTCTTTAGATCAATTCTATATTATCTTTACAGGTATATATAACTCATAAAAACAAACATTACCAAACTTCTTCTGTCATGCAGGTAGTTGTTCCCGCTCAAAGTATTGGAAATAATGTACAAATATCTTTGTAAGAATGTATGCATTTAGGATAAGCCCCTTGTGATGGGTCATTGTTTTTCTGTAATGAAGTAGAAAGTCTACAAAAATACAAGAATATAAGCAACTTTTTTTTTACATTCATCAGAATATGACATTTTAAATATTCTATATGTAATCAAAGTATGTAGTGGAGTAGAATCATGATTTGAGCATAATGGTTTTAGATGGCTTTGTTAAGCAAAGTGCAGAAAGGACAGTGTCTGTAGCAGCGACAATAACGGTCAATATGTATCAGCTTTCACCTGCATCATCTTTCAGCTGTTTTGCATCCTAAAGGAATAAAGCACACGCAACATATAAATACCCTCACACTGCCAAAGGATGGGTAGAGAAGAGTGTTCAAAGCACCTAGACAACTTGCCACGGATCATTGTTAGTGATGTCGGCGCCTCTCTTGTGTTTGGAGTCGGTGCCTACACCTGTCGGCAAATTTAAAATGTTACATCTTTTGAAGCCCATGTCTAAATTACAAACGGGTGTGTACACGACCTTCAAATCTACAGGCCCAATGACAACTAAACAATCATCCCGACAGAAGAAAGATAGCTAATGTTTTGCTAACCGAATGCTAACAAAGCGGTGGCTTAGCATAAGTAATCTAGAAGTATATTTATAAATACTTTGACTTTTCATGTTTTAAATCGTATTCCCTCAGTGGTGGTTTGTGTTATTGTAGTTCAGCAATTGTTTCTGACTTGGCTCCCTGGTCTCCTTCGTAAATTTCCATAGCGTAAACAAATTAAACTTAATCCCATGGCCTTTTTCGGTTGGTTTTTTCGTTGGTTGTTATAACAAACGTGACAGCCAACCACAAACACTGCTTTCGTACCATGTTTAAAATGCTGAAGTTTTTTTGCTAGCCATAAGGATAAGTCAGCGGGTTTCAATCCCCGGGATCCTTCAAAGATGGCCGCCTTCCTGTGAATAGCGAATGGGAATGTGACGTCATCAACGCCAAGTCGTCCATCTTTGGAGGACACTAGCGAGCCGAGGAGCTGTACATTTTTCACTTTCCACGTTTTAAACATGGTCGGCAGGCACTGTTATGTCACCTTCTGTAACAACGACTGCTAAGACTAAGTATAAATAGGTTGCGGTATCGGACATGAACATTTGTATTGAACTTCCCTATAGTCAATATTCAAATATGTTTTTATAAAGGTAGGTTTAGGGTTTTATGTATACCTGTCTCCCTGCATTCACCTATGTCCCTCCCTTTATCAACCTGTCTCCCTCCCTGTATCTACCTGTCTCCCTCCCTGTATCTACCTGTCTCCCTCCCTCCCCCTCTCTCTCTCCCTCTCTCGCTCTCTCTCTCTCCCTCCTTCACTCCCTCACAGTGGCTCGTGCTGCAACCATCTGCCAATAACAAGCCTGCTGAGACAGAGAGAGCGCGTGAGTGAGAGAGCAGCCACCTTACTCCACAGCGCGCGGGGCTCGTGCAGCATGTCAGAGATGTGAAGCGGCGGGAAGCAGCATGGCGGGAGGACGGCGGGGTCTCGTGGCCCCTCAGAACACGTTCCTGGAGAACATCGTCCGTCGGTCCAACGGTAAGGTTCCGGTGCTGTCCGTTTACATTAATTGAATCGGTGATAACGTGATTGTTGTGTGGAATGTCTCGTGGTGGTGCGCGGTTGGTTCATCATCAGAAAGCTCTACTCTGATTGGCTCTTAACATTCCAGAATGTTGCATGTGTCCAGGTAGTTACCTTCATCGCAAGCTAACACTAAGCTGTAGTTACATCACTTAATGTTGAGGTGTTTGTCTTAATTACAGCTGCTCAGTCAAATCAACCAATGTATATCACTTGTATTCATTTCCACATTGCATGTACGTTTTATGTTGTTAACAGGAATACAGCTACATTTTATTTAAACCGAAATGTACATTAATATTTAAAAAAAAGAAACCCTAGAACTTATATTACAAGTTATAAGATAAGATAGACCTTTATTGATATAGAGATGCAGGTGTTATTGCAGCAACATACTGTAGTAAGAGAGAAAGATGGTACACATGGGAATATACACAGTAATAAGGATGCTTTTTTATTTCAATAACAAAATATGAAGAAACATGTAGTAAACGTATGAATAGAAATAACAAAAACACCTTGTCTACCCTTTATGCCACTTCATATACTTATCCAATGTTTACAATTTTATTTAAACACTAAACGGTATGTTATTTGATTTTAAATATATCTTTGTATTCAAAATGTTATTTAACTTGATCTTTCAAAAGTTATTTAATTGGCTTTACACCCTATATTCACTTCACAACCCAAATATTGTAAAACTAACAATTTGTACATTTAACTATTCATATTTTAATGTTAAATGTATTTGTATATTAAGATATTTACCCTCATTTCTAGAAAGCTATTCAATTATGAGTTGGATATGTATTTGGAAGTGATCCTTTTATAAAACGATTAATTGCTGAAAATCAATAGATTGATTGATATTTAATTGAAGCCCTATTTCACTTTAATATAGGCTATTAAAACGTATTAGTGTGTACACTCTCCTGTCATAAATATTACATACTTGAATCTGTTCGTTCAGCAGCAGGAAATAGATGGAGGGAATCCAAACGTACTCTACTGTTTACCTTCAAATAGGTCACTGCGTACCTCTGGATACAAGGATACAACATGTTTTAATATTACAATTAACTTGATATATGGCTGCAACAATGATATTTAAAACTAACTTTGCTCTATTTCAGGCTCCCTATCTTAGTCTCAGTTCTGTTGTCACTGTTTCGTCTGTTTCTGCTCCTTTAACGCACTTATCTTTTCAACTTTTCAGTTTGGACATTATCACATAGACAGACAGGTACAGACCAGAGTTTCCACATACTGTCGTGTAGATGTATCCATCCCCTTCCGCTGACCTGTGATGTATATATACACATATATATTACATATATACAGTATATATTTATTATATATACAAAGTATATACCGTATATATATATATATACTGTATATAACACACACACACATACACACACACACATTTAGAGTTTATGCTCTGTTTTAAATGCATCATCCAGATGGTGAACCTCCTGCACTTTGTGTGATTCATAAATTCAGCATCCATTTTACTGTTTTTTCTGACAGTTTAGTCTCTTGAATGTTACATCTCTAACTCTAACTCTTTCTCCTGGCTTGTGACCAAATGTTTCTCCTTAAATGTACCTGACTTCATGGCTGTAGGATATGAAGACACATACAACATGTTATTGAATACTGATAAACATATTACATGCACTAAAATGTTCCTTGTTTCCTTATCACAAGATATTCCTTTTGATTAATTTACAGATATTAAAGTGTACTCAGATCTGCCTTTTTGCTGATTTCCGTAATCCTAAATTGCGTGTTAAATTAAAAAATGAACTTTTTTCAACATTCTGTTATTGAACATTGAATTCAACACAAAAGGCCCCAATTAAAATATAACAGTGCCGGTTTCTAAAGCCCTTCTTTCAACTAACTAAAAAAAGTGTATTATGCGATGTGTTTATCGAACAAGTTGACATCTAAAGTTAACAATTAACAAAATAATCTATCGTGCAGCCCAGCACGCCACTATCCAAGCAGCAAACCAGCATTTCTTATTTTTCTGGAGGTACCTGGCTAATGTGAAAATAATGAACATCCCGAAGCTCAAACTACAGCCTTCAGATAACCATATGTTTGAATCAACTCCTCTATTAGACAGTGTTAATACACAGTATAACATTCTTAAATATGCAGAGGGGATTGTAATAGATACTAGAGGTGAACCCAACCCTATCTCACTAGAATCTATTTCACTGATTGTTTGAATTACAAATATCCAACGTATGAGATTGTTTCTCATCTTAGTAATTGACCGTGAAACCCCATTGACTCCACATTAGGCCACAGAATTGAAGTTAAGCGACTCTGCTCTAAGGCTGTGTTTAAATGTGACATCAGCACAATAAATCGCAGCCTCATCAGTGGCTTCGATGACACGGTCAGCAGAGAAGCAGACCTCAGCCAATTAAAAAAGGGCAAGGGCACATTAGATGATGTTTAAAATGCATGGTGTATAGAGTGCTGCAGGAACGAGTCCTAAAACCCGGACATGATGGAGCATTTCTTCACTTCCTGTTCCCTCGTCTCAATGTCAGTTGATTCTTTTCAATAGGATCTTTGTCAGATCCTAAAAATAGGGTTGGCGGTTGGTCCTAAATGCTCTAAACGTGAATATTTAACATTATGAGTCAAACATGCGGTTGCTAAAAGATACTGCAGATGTTCTTCGGAATTTTTAAATACATAGCATTTAAGCTTAAAAAATCACAAGTATTGTTCACTTGTTAAGATACATGAGATAAGATTTAATATTGAAAAAACAGTAGAAAAAAAAGTAAAAGATCTAGCTACAAGTAAAATACATATTGATGGCGAAAGATTTATATATCTGTGTAAGGATTTATATTACCTGTTTGTTGGCCACAGCATATTTTTTTGAATATGAAGTGCTTTGACAAAAAATCCATTAAAAAATGTCATCTGTGGAAGCCGTAGTACTGTAAAAAGCACGACCAATCATTTTAGCCGGCCCGGCTAAAATAACTGGATGGCCTACCTGCCTGTCAGCCTTCCATCTGTGCACAAACTTATCTCGTGCCCTCATTGGTCATGTGCGTGTTTGTGTGTGTTGGAGGAGGGGCTCTGTAACGGACCGTCCACACAGCAGCGTTAAAAAAATCTTGGAGGTGGACGTATCTGAAGCTTGGGGATTTTTTGCGAGCAAGGCACCAACAACCAATCACATGAATCTCCCGCCCCCGACATACAAAGCAAAAAAGCCCGAAGTAAACTGGATATAAACTCCCCAAAACAGGCGAAAACCTACCACTGTCTCTGCCACCTCCCTCCATGCCTGGCTCCTCCGGTTTATATCCCGGTAGGTAAATAGGGACTGGTCATAAAGCACCGGGTGATTCCCTACCGCTGATTTCTCCTCCATTTTTTGGAATATGAGGAAATGTATGTCTCTCCCAGCATACACGCGGTTTGATTGGCTAGAGCTTGAACTGTCAGATTTGCGTACACGGGATTTGATTGGCTGACGCTTCCACCTCAGCCTCAAAAGTTGAACATTGTTCAACTTTGAATCCTGAAAATCCTGAAAATCTCCGCTCGCCTGCCCACAATGCAGTTCGGCGAAAAGTGAGGGAAAGTGACGTCACCCCATTCAAAGTGAATGGGCAGAAGCGTTTCAAGATTTTTTAACGCTGCTGTGTGGACGGTCCGTAAGGAAGTGGCAGATCTTTTCTCTGTGTATTTTCAAATTCTAGCGATCTCGAGCTGGTTTCTCCAAAATTACCAACCCCACCTTTAACGTGTCCAATACTTTAGTTAATGAACAAATATCCTTAACATTAATGACATCAACCTTAGCTGTGAAACGTAACAGAGTAAACATCAGCGTGTTAGCATTGTAACTGTGAGGATGTTGGCAAGCTGATGTTGCTTTCAGCTCAAAACAGACTTTTAATCGGTTTATATCCTAAAGACACACACACACACAGACACCCCTCTGGTAATAGAAAAACAACAACTGTATCTCTGTCCATCAGACATCTTCCTCCTGTTAAACTCTTGCCGTTAAATGAGGAGCAGTCCATGGATGTTGGATTAGCCTCAATTACGCTGCTGTTTAATTCAGCGTAACGATAACCTATGGCTGAACAATGGATTCATTTCACATTACGCTGCTCACCCCAATTCACCCCCAATGAATGAAGTAACAAAGGAGGAATTCAAGCCTTAAACTCAGAAGAGCTGCTAGCACTGATAAGCTGCAGTGTCCATTAAACCACACAGTTAGAAACATTCGTCCTGATTTGTTTAAACTCACAATTTGGCCAAAAATGACACATTTCACCCTTTTTTTTAATTCATTTATTTTCCACAAAATCAATATAATTTAGGCGTATTTGTCGTGACTGTGTTGTGTGTGTTTCATACGGTAAAAATAAATCTCCATCCTGAAGTAGGTGACATGAACTTGTATTTTGCATTGGGGGAAGTGGGGTAGTTAAAGTCCTTGGAGGTTCTCCAGGAGAACGTTAAAGCCTGCAGGCTGCACTCCAGCTCTCACCATATCCTGCTCCGCTGGGATTCAACTCAGGCATTTGTTTGAAACATTTAAGTTTAAGCGTAAAGTATTCATGAAGTCTTACCTGAATGTGGAAGTGATGGTCTTTGGGGTATTATAGTGCAAACATAGGAAAACACAACACAAGTGGTACACAGGAAAAAGTCAGGTTTAGGTTCATAACATTCATAACAGCTGAATGACTACTAAGAACATCTGCTACCTACGATCAGGTTCAGCTAAATTATCAAAATATATTACCTTTATTTGTCAGTTACGGTCTCATTGTACGTAGCTTTGGACAAAAGTATCATCATGTTGAAGGAAAAGTAGGTGAAATACTCAAAAAGCCAATGTCTTGCGATACAATCTTGCTCCATAATAAAACAACACATTGATATTAATCTTTAAAGGTTTAATCTGATAGTAAAGGTCCATTATATCTCATTCTAAGTGGCTACAACTGTATCTCAAACCTTCATAAACGTGTTGGGTTGCACTTGAAAAATGGGAGAAAAACAAGCATAATTTCTGTAGGGTAAAAGACAGCATTAAGAAATAAATAGCCTTATGTGTACATTTGTAAAACATATGTTCTTTTCCTTCTAAGTAAATACAACATATGACATCCCACCTCATTCTGTTTTCACGAAATACCTGTATTTATGTTCGTACTTCAAAATCTATGCAATCAAAATCCCAAATCGCACTAATATAGTAAGTTAAAAAAAAGTGTCTTAAATAGATCTGGGTACATTAATGATGTCTATTATAAGCTGCTTTACATTAACAAGTAACAAGTGGTCAAAGGCAAAATATCAGACATTTAGTTAAATGCATTCAAAAGACAGCAATGGTAGAAAGAGACAACACAATTGCACCAAACCAAAATTGATTCTTAAATTACCACAGCATTGGAAAAAAAACATTGATCACGTACTTTTGCTAATAACCTAAGAGTCACTTTTTCCGAAATCCACTTGTCCCATCGGCATAAGTTAGATCCATCACACGGCAATTATTTATAATAAAAGCTCTCCTTATGCGTGCTCCTGATGGGAATAACACACACACACACACACACACACACACACACACACACACACACACACACACACACCTGCTGTAAATGTGCGTGTTTGTGTGAGTTGCTGCTGGTGGATTGTGATTGTCTGTTCGTGTGTCTATATACCTACAATAAATCACAAACACTGAGAGAATTCTTTTTTCTTTTTGCCATGGTGTAAACATACCTTCTACTTCACACATGATCAGCTACGTGGATGGATAGGTCTGTAGAAAGAAAGAAAGATAAATACGCAATATTTATCTGTGTAAGGGATGTATGATTATGGCTCAAATAACAATTATGATTGTGGAAAAAGGGGTAATTAATAAATGTCTAAATCATGATTAATATACCATTAACTGTAAGGTTGCAACAGTTGGGTGATACATTAAATTGTCTATCACCAGAACATTAATTGGCAATCATTTTACAAGAATCAATCAACTGTTACATTTAATCTAAAGCAAAAAGTAACAGGTTTCAGCTTCTGAAAGTTAATCTGTTCTTGTTTTCTTACTGTTCGATAACTTTTTGTTGGACAAAACAAGGACAAAATAATAAGAAAAGGTCCCAATAGACTGCAAGGAAGCTTTTTATATTACTGCCCAAAGGATTAATTGAGTAGATAATCGGTAGACTTATCTATTGTAAAAATAATTGTTAGTTGCAGCCTTAATCAACAGTGCAGCCCCACCATGGTTATAAAGTTGTGAGCCCATGCACTTAATGGGGACACGTTAAATCTGCTGTTTCTGTGGTCAGATACAAACTTCGTGCTGGGGAACGCTCAGATCGTGGACTGGCCGATCGTCTACAGCAACGACGGCTTCTGCAAACTGTCCGGGTACCATCGGGCCGAGGTGATGCAGAAGAGCAGCACCTGCAGGTACAGCCATTTTATGTTTCAAATATTTGTATTGAGAAGAAGCATACAAGTTTAAGCAATAGTACAGACTTCTTTGGGGTGGAAATCATGCTTCCCTTTTTCAACATAGAAGACAAACAGAACAGCCAACACGAAATAATAGGGAAAAAACATAGCATGACAGGAATACCATACTTAATGACATACATAGTCAAAGTGGGAAAGAACATACAAAATACTCCTGCCATTTTATAATATGTTTCTGAATGTCTTTCATTTTTGTAAAGCACTTTGAATTGCCTTGTGTTGAAAGGTGCTATATAAATAAACTTGCCTTGCACACACTGATGTAATGGAGAGTTTATCAGCACTGTGGGTTTTTACTTCTCCTCCCGCAGCTTCATGTACGGAGAGCTGACGGACAAGGACATGACGGACAAAGTGCGGCAGACCTTCGAGAGCTACGAGATGAACTCTTTTGAGATTCTGATGTACAAGAAAAACCGTGAGTACTTCATGTTTTTTTAACAAATTACAATGCAAATGTAACCCTGAACCCTCAAAGAACCAGAATTAAAATGTTTCTTGCGTCACAGCAGCTCCATTTAAAGACAAGAATGAAACAAGAATACATACAACATTGAACTATTACAATACAATCATTGAGGAAAATATGTTCTAGTCCCTTCAACCTACTTTAGAGATGGGATTAAGTTCCATATTTAATTTTCCTATTGACCGGTGCACAAAGAGTCTGACCTTAAAAATATGGCCAAACCCTGTTTCTCCTATTTCATGGTAACAATTTGTATTTATTCTTTGAGGAGTCCTATTATGGTTTTCAGAGTTTTTCCTTTTACCTCAAAGTTTTCCCTGATACATAGTATGACACCTGTTAATGAGCATACTATTATGTCCACATCATCACTTTATTTTATAACTATTATTCTTTTTGTATTGCTCTTGCTCTTATTGTTATTATGTTATTATGTTGCATTGTTGGAGAAGCCTGTGACATAAGATTTTCAACTACATAATTACTCTGTAGCTATGTCAGATTGACAATAAAGAACCTTGAACCTTGAACCTTGAACCTCTATGTCTTCTTTAAGGACATATTTGGGGTCAAAGACAGTGTTATTATCCAGTTTTAGTACTTTCTCGGGTAGGTTGATTCAAAGTTTCTCAAGCAGTTGACCTATAACTTTTAAGCAGATCTTTATATGGTGGTTTTGATTTGTGGTGAGAGAACGTAGAGCGAGTGAAATCCAACATTGTGCTTGTATATCTAGCAACTATCTTGAAAATGAAATTGGCATGTGGTAGAAACAATTCAAAGACACTATGTTTTCCAGTCCTGATAATGGATGTAGCGTAATGAGTGAGCCATCTCACGTCCTAGCTGCACAGACAAGGAGCTAGACTAATTCAACACGACAAATAACTTAAGTTTTTGTTATAATATCATAACATTTCCCTTTGGGCAAGTGGATTCCTTATTGCCTTTAAAACCTTGAACCCTGGACTCGCCCCAAAGGACTAAAGCCAGCAGGAAAATTATTCTGTTTGTTCTTTTGCAGACAGATTCAAAGTGATCTCCGGGTAGCAGATGGTCTATCATAACACCCACGTATTTGTATGAAAATACCTACTTGATATTGTCATTACGGATAACAAAAGGAGCGTCAGGTGGTGAAACAAATACAATTTCCTCGGTTTTCTTTGTCTTAATCTCAAGAGCTTTACGCTCAGTTGGCAGCCTCTCAACGACAGAGACAGAGAAAGATGTCTGTTGAATATAATAAGCCTCTCAGTTTCACTCATTTAGTGCAGATTTCTTTGTTAAAGGAGAACAATACCACGCAAAGAACAAGCTGCTACTTTTATCAGACTTAACAAGACTGTTCAGTTTCACAGTGACATGAAAATAGCTAGTTCCAAAACTGGCAAATGGCTGCCTTTTAACAAAGCCCCCTTTTATCCAAAGTGCTTTTTTGCCCTGTTATTTGAGTGTCAATGTCCTGGGAGAGGACACTTTGACATGTGGAAAGGTGTACTTATTTCCCGGGCATTTTATTCCCTAGAGAGCAAGCGACACAGGAGAGTGATGGGGAGGAAAAACAAAGACCCTGGTTAATATTTAATGCTTGACTCCCTCAACATTTTGGCCACATGAGTACAATCATTTATGTACATATATATTATATTTATATTCATACCTTTCACGTTATTGTTAAAAAGCTTCCACTGAAACCCAAACTCTGAGAGTTCAGTGTTTTTTTCAGAGCAGTATGAGGTTGTTTTTGAGTCAGAACCAAAAGAAGGTGTTTTACTGAGTTCTACATCAGTGTTCACAGGTGGTGCTACACCCGACTGGCACAGTGACAAATGTGTGTGTGTGGTTTTCGCTTCAGTTCACACTGGCACACAATATTACACATGCTGTGCAGATACAAAACAAGATGCTGTGTGTACCAACAGCGCTGTAAACAAAACAGTCACACTTTCAAATGGCTTATACAACACTGAAAAACTATTAATGATTGAACATTTAGTGCAGCATCTCCACCAGTTGCTGATGTTTGATTATCAGCTTTTCTATGTCAAACTGCAGTCTTCACTCCACTTAACAGAGTTTTCCTCGTCCTTACACACTCACAGCCAATTAAAACACGGCAAAGGAGAAACAAAACTGCTTCAAAATGACTGTTAACACTTAATGTACCAATTGGAGATTGGATTGGACCAGTTAAGAGACAGAGGGAATCCGTTCTGCCATTTAATTCAGAGACTGAGAAAACCAAGAGCCCCTGTTATTGAGTGTAGTTTGAAGAAAATAGTTCCTACATGAAACCCCTCTCAGAAACTCAGTGGATTATCTTGGGTAGCCGGGTCATGATTTATGAAAAGAAATCCTGGTGAGTTCTTTTTTTATGTATTTCTTGGTTGAGTGCCATCTACTTCCATTATACTGGAGAGAAGGCAGACATCTGTATGGCCAATATCTCAAACACTCTGCAACTCAAACGATATAGCACTACAGGAAATAGGAAAACTATGTATTTTCCATTTTGGGTTTTCTCTTTCAGTCTCCCCCTGTCCTATCATGGATGTTTTGATTGGAAGTGAGACAAATGTATGAAGTCTGAATGGGGTTTTGACTCATTTTGGAGCTGCCCTGTCAATGGTGTAAATTGGATTTTTGACACTTTAAACACCTTCTCAATACACAAAATAGATTCAGCAGCTCAAGGTGAAACGGTTCATTCTCACTTTCAGGTGAGTGTGTTGAGTTTTGACGGAAACATTTAGTCTATGTGTGTGTGTGTGTGTGTGTGTGTGTGTGTGTGTGTGTGTGTGTGTGTGTGTGTGTGTGTGTGTGTGTGTGTGTGTGTGTGTGTGTGTGTGTGTGTGTGTGTGTGTGTGTGTGGTGTGTGTGTGTGTGTGTGTGTGTGTGTGTGTGTGTGTGGTGTGTAGTGTGTGTGGTGTGTGTGTGTGTGTGTGTGTGTGTGTGTGTGTGTGTGTGTGTAGTGTGTGTGTGATGGTGTGTGTGTGTGTGTGTGTGTGTGTGTGTGTGTGTGTGATGTGTGTGTGTGTGTGTGTGTGTGTGTGATGTGTGGTGTGTGTGTGTGTGTGTGTGTGTGTGTGTGTGTGTGTGTGTGTGTGTGTGTGTGTGTGTGTGTGTGTGTGTGTGTTCCAGGGATGCCAGTCTGGTTTTTCATGAAGATTGCGCCAATCAGGAACGAGCAGGATAAAGTGGTCCTGTTTCTCTGCACCTTCAGTGACATCACCGCCTTCAAGCAGCCAATCGAGGACGACTCTTCAAAAGGTGGGTGGGGCTAAAAACAATGGACAATATGACAAAAATCAACTAATTCTTACACACTGTTAGTGTCTTTGTTCACACACTGATTTACTGTGTTAGACATATTAGAGAAGAATAATTTTACACATATTTAGCTGCAAAACTGTCAGTACAAACGTCTGAAAAACAAAACATTGGTCATAACTAAACCTCCTCTTAAAATTGTGAGAACAAGGTAATAGGACCAGTCGGTTTTCACTGGGTTTGATCAATATTCTGAAGCAGTCATGACCCATCAATCGATTTTTACAAGAAACCTAAGAGAGTGTTGTTTTAGGGAGAATCATTGGTGCTTGTTGATCCCTGTGGGCAAGCTTTATGTTTTGGTTTTGTCGCTTCAGAAAACACAATAAGGCTGGTTTATAAGTGCTTTGAATGTCAATACAAATACATTTTCTTGCCTTGATACAGAACGCCGTTGGCCCGTTATAACTTTGTCCGGTGTTTTACTATGGGAATTTTCTCGGTCATAGTTTAACAGCTCACTCTGTTGTCAAAGAACCAAGGTTACGTTAAGTAACCCAACGTCTTTTCTTATGCATTAAAGTTGGGGTAGGTAAGTTTGAGAAACCGGCTCGAGATACACTTTTTGTTATATTCCATGGAATGCTCTTAACATCCCGATAGCAATGAATATCTTAAGTGCTTTAACAAAAAATCCATAAAAATATGTCATCTGTGGAAGCCGTGGTGCTGTAAAAAGCACGACCAATCATTTTAGCCGGCCCGGCTAAAATAACTGGATGGCCTACCTGCCTGTCAGCCTTCCATCTGTGCACAAACTTATCTCGTGCCCTCATTGGTCATGTGCGCGTTCGTGTGTGTTGGAGGAGGGGCTCTGTAAGGAAGTGGCAGATTTGTTCCGGCTGTGTATTTTCAAATTCTCGCGCACTCGAGCTGGTTTCTCCAAAATTACCTACCCCACCTTTAAGTGACTATAAAAGCATTTGGGTGTGAAACCCTGAGATTAATAATGACAATATAAGACAATGAACCTTGACAAAAAATAGAAAAATAGACAAAAGAAAATGACACATAAGTTGTTTATATCTGATGATTCATAAAGGCTTTAACCTGATTATTCCTAAAAATGTTGTCAACATTTTTAAAGTGTGATTAAATGTTAAAGGTTTCAGATCATGAAGACCATTTTGTCTCGAGGTAGAAACAGCCTGTCAGGTTTTAAATCTTGCACTTGTTCAGTTATTTTCTGATGTTTCATGTTTTTTTTATTCTGTGTTGTTTGCAGGTTGGGGTAAATTTGCCCGTCTGACTCGTGCGCTGACCAGCAGTCGAGGCGTTCTGCAGCAGCTCGCTCCAGCTGTGCAGAAAGGAGAGAACGTCCACAAACACTCACGGCTGGCAGAGGTGAGATCAGCTCTCACTCAGCTCTCCTCACTGAACCAGACATGGTTTAGAAAGGAGACGCTGCACTGAATGTCAATTTCCTGTATCTGTGTCTCCAGCTGCGCCACCTCTCTAGGACTCTGAGTTCAGAATCACTTCGCCCAATGTGTTTAAAAGACTCAGTCACCCAAGTAAATATTGGACGCATTTTTCACAAGCCACATGTCTTCAGAACAATCTGACACTAAAATTATATTTTTCAGAAGCACACATCAGGAAAAAGGAGAACTCGGGAGAACTTTTTCACAAGACTAACCGGGTGTTTTAAGTCATTATTTATTGTAAAAATATATATTTTTATAAGTTCCAAAAATCCCAACATGTTTTAAGTAACTAAATATTCTCTTTTCGGTGTTAAGCCTTTAAAGAAACACAATTTTGAGTGTGTTAAATAAAAATACAAACACAAATGTAAGCCTGTTTTATAAGGCAACTGAACCATCAACAAAAAAAACATTGTTTATTCGAAACTAGGAAAACAAATGTTCACCGTAAAAGACAATATAAAAAGCAACACTTGAAATAATAACAAAAAGTCTTATTTTCTTCTTTGCTTTCATTCAACACGATGAATAAAACTTCAATACACGCTCCGATCGTTTTATATTTGGTACAGCCCACACAGCAGGACACAAGACAGAATTGATATAAGCGTACCAAACATTGTGAGCACTAAAATAATAGTGTTTTCTTTCAGTTATGAGAAAAGTACTTTACATTGATCTGGAACAAAGTACCTCTGACATCCTGGATCTATCTGTCATTAGTGTGCAGACGGGCTGAGAGATGGAGGCAGTTCCTGTTGTTTATTGACAGCCTGCTTTCAGAGCGAGACAAACACACTGTTATTAAAGTCTGCCGAGTGGACTCCTCTGTCACCAGAACGCCTGCGGACCCTCAAACACATATCAGGTTTTTAATGTAATGTGACGAATACAACAGAATATATAGCGGTTTCTTATTTCTAGAGATACTGAATGAAATTGTTCAGATCAATCAATAGTGAATGTGACTTCCCAGTAAGGAGTCTCTGGAGAGAAACTGCAGTTTAAAGATTTAAAGTATTGTTTACCTCCATCGATTCTGTTTTTGTTGGCAGGAGCAGGTCATTCATTCATTTGTGGAGCTGGGAGAATACATTCTTACTTTACTTAAAGGTCACCTATTATGCAAAATCCACTTGTTCATGTCTTTTATACCGCAACATGTGTCCCCTCTGTGTAAAGAGACTCTGAAAGTTTCAGGAAAAAAGATTCTCTCTCTTTTTGTCCTGATCCATTTATATAAAAACCTGTCTGAAAATGAGCTGATCAGATTTTGGTCACTTTATGATGTCATAACGATGTGTTGGCTTGTGTAACCATTAGCCAATCACCAACCAAGGTAACCCCCCCCCACCTTATCACCTGAATCTCCTCCTAGAGCACCATTGAGTTCTTTTTAACCAAATATCTCTCAGAGGGGCGTGGGGAGGGGCTCCTTATTTTCATCTAAAGTAACAGACAGAGAATCAGCACTTTTGAAACAGGGCTGAAACAGAGGGGATTATGGGATGCTGCAATGATCTGTTTGGTGTTTGGAGCCAAACACTTCAGAGACATGTTCTGTATATATCTGAGAACTATAATATACTGATGAAAAACAGTATAATAGGGGACCTTTAACTCTTACTCACCATTATGCCTGTCCTCACAGCTGCCAGAAACGTTTACAGTAACATAAAAACATCCTCTACCGTCGACCGCTTATCGGGTCGCAGGTGAAGCAGTTTTTTCAAACTAAAGATATTCATACAGCTCTTTTAATCATTTGGTAATGAATTCCACATTTTAACCCAAACTACAGAGACACACATCTGTTTTAAATATAGTTCATGCAAACTGATTCCTAAAGTTACATTTCCTTTCATTATCCTGTCCTCCGAATTTAATGTGAACTTTTTTTGTTTATTTTCTAGTAATACTCTTGTTTTCTCAAAGCCAAAAGAGTCTGTAATTCAATGACATTTTGCACATTTTGCACACTGGACAGTATGACATGTTAGCAAATGATGGTGACATTTTGTCGAGCACATCACAGCACCAAGGAAATTATATTTGAGAAGTGAGTTCATGCATAACTACTTAATTAATTTATGAATAATTTCCTATCTCACTAGTGTACATGTGTAGGGTGTAGAAGTTGTAAAATTGCAATTTTTTGTTTTATTTGGTAAGAAAGGACAGATTTTCTCAATTTATTTTTAAACTTAGTGTTAACAGTTTTGTTGTGCTTTTGTATTCTTTTAATTGACCTCCGTAGGCGTGTGTTGGTCCTGTGTTGCTTTCTATTATACAACCATCTGCTGCCATTTTGGCCAACAAGCTGTGGAAAAATGAATATTCTTATTCTAAGATAATAAGAATCAAAACGTGTTAAATGCACTTTATAAACATTAGCTCTCCTCACAGGCGTCGTGTTGCCGATAAGTTCATCAGCTGTAATTAACTGTGACTAATCTTCCCTTTATTGCATGATGGTAATTACTGTCGGCTCTAAAGAACTAATCCGTTATCGGTCCGTTTCACCGGGACAATGCCCTTTGTCCTCCACATTAACACCATTATCACATTAGGATCATTTATTCTTTTATACAGTGCTTTATGAGGGGAAAATGTATTTACATATTTCATACAGACGACAAGTTCTTAACAGAAGCTCAGAGGATTAAAATGAGAGAAAACTAAAAAGAACATTTCCATTTCAATCAGTGAAATTAGATAAGTTCTTTATTAAATCAACAGCTGATTTTCAGGCAATAGCACAGTTAAAACTCTCTTTTATTTAAATTGCTGTTATCATTTAGTGTATAACTTTTGCTTATCCCCCTTGTTTAATTTGATTCAAATTATTTTTATTTTTGTCACTGAAACAAATAACTGGTATGAATAGATTTAACAAGAAAAGTTTTTTTTTCTTGTAAACAATATTCCTGTTCTCCTATTTGGTCCAAATCTTTCTTTTGTTGTTTTTCAAAACATCTATTTACAAATATCACACAACTCATGCAGTATAATCCATATCTTATGTATCCTGTCCTGTCCTCACTTCTTCCCAAATACTTGAATTTCCCCTTAAACCTAACCACTTAAAACTCATCCAGATTCACACTGACACAGATTTCTCCCAACAGTGACAGTGAGCCAACTTTATAATCAACGATCGTCAACAAGCGCTCCGCTCCCAGCCGTGTGCGTCACTGTTTAGTGTCCCCGGGTTTCTGCTGTGTTTTGATCTTTTGCAGCTCCTTTTAGTAAACGCTGCACATGTTTTGTCAAGTTGGTGAAGATGTTTTTTCATTTGTATGTGTTTTAGCACATTTGTGTTTTTATATTTGCAATGTTTTTGAAACTTCAGCGCGTTTCTCGTAATGGAAATGTTTTGTGCCGTTGTATCACGTTTGCACCTGTCGGCCACCGTAGATTTCGATTAAAAAACAACTGTATCCTCATGAGGGTTTGGTCAAATCATGGTGATATGATACTGTTAGAAAAATATCGCTCGTCACCGGCTTGGTCTTCAATATCAGGATACATGTATTTATTATCCTTGCAAGAATGGAAGTAGTCATCACATACAGAGCATTTGGTACAACTAGCTCCTGAACAGTGTCCTTCACATGCTCATATACAAGAGAGAGAGATGGAGGAATACCGGTTCAAAGCAGTATTCAATGTTTAGTTCAGATTAGCTAAGGCCTGCGTAAGCAATAAACATGACAGTCATATGTCTATCTCCATAGAGGCTACATCATCATGTTAATCACATAGCTATCATATGCCTAAAACTGTCCTGATGCTCTTCTAGGTAATCATACATCCTGTTACGTACACAGCAACGTAGGGCCTTTGTTATCATGTGCTACTCTGATATTGGAAGAGTACATTCAGTATTTTCCCAACAGATATGATCTGTGTTTTTAACTTTTATGTATTTACCACGACACAAAGTCAAATTCCTCGTACGTGTCAACCTACCTGGTAATGAACCCGTTTCTGATTCTTCTGATATCTTTGTCTCAAACCCATAGCTAACGCTCTGTTTATTCTATTTTGTCTCAGGTTCTCCAGCTGGGCTCAGACATTTTGCCTCAGTACAAACAGGAAACCCCGAAGACCCCTCCCCACATCATCCTGCACTACTGCCTCTTCAAGACCACGTGGGACTGGGTCATCCTCATCCTCACCTTCTACACCGCCATCATGGTGCCCTACAACGTGTCCTTCAAGACCAAGCAGAACAACGTCACCTGGCTGGTGGTGGACAGCATCGTGGACGTCATCTTCCTCGTGGACATCGTCCTCAACTTCCACACCACCTTCGTCGGCCCGGCCGGGGAGGTGATCTCCGACCCGAAGCTCATCCGCATGAACTACGTGAAGACTTGGTTCGTCATCGACCTGCTGTCCTGCCTGCCGTACGATGTCATCAACGCCTTCGAGAACGTGGACGAGGTGAGTGGACTTTCATTTCAATCAGGAGAGACAGTTTTTTGATGTTTTAACGATATATATTTATTGCCGGGAATACACAGATACATGTAGTGGTGTTTGGCGATTAGACCCCGTTGTGCTGGAGTATCATCCGGGAGGGGAATACTGAGCCAATAAACCCCCCCTGGGATCTAGACACTGGTGGTGGTGGAGGCAATTAAGGGATTGATGGAGGTCTGAAGAGGAGCGGTTTAAGCTTGACCCTGGATTTGGAAGAAAGGAAGGTGGAAGGACTGGAGGAGGGCTGCGTTGAGTCACCTGAAATGACAACTGTGAGGAAGGGGAGAGAGCAGATTTAAAGGTTTAGGGTTAGGGTTGCACTATGATGTACAGTGATGCGCCGGTGAAGATGGCCGCATCGTCTTCGTGCTCCTCTCCAACTTTGCCCATTTTCGTATTTTGTACATATTTCTTTTACTTTTGCCGTTTTACTTTTAACATGGTTCGCAACATGCTAGCCGACCGCACCTACTCTGCCATACAATATAGCAGAGAGGAACTTCTCCAATTGCGAAACTTCGTGGACAATATTAACCCTCCGACAGACAATGGAGATTCACCATGGCTACCTGTTGCTGTTCTACCTGAGAGACGCAAGAAGAAGACAAAGCGAGGATGCCGGGCCGGGTTGCTGGTCAGACTAAGAAAACGTGAGAATCGGCCCCCTCTTCCGAGTATTCTTCTGGCTAATGTTCAATCCATTGAAAATAAGCTAGATGAACTCAGAAGCCGGATTGCTTTTCAACGGGACATTAAGAACTGTAACGTGTTAATTCTCACTGAGACTTGGCTCAACCCCGCTATCCCGGACTCCGCTATTGTCCCTGACGGATTCTCTATTTTTCGTCAGGACCGGACTGCAAACTCGGGGAAAAGTAAGGGAGGCGGTGTGTGTGTAATGACTAACAACAACTGGTGCTCAGATGTGAAGATTATTTCATCGGACTGTTCCGCACAGCTAGAGCACCTCATGATCTCATGTCGGGCCTTCCATCTGCCGAGGGAATTCACATCTGTTGTGATAACAGCAGTGTATATCCCGCCGCAGCCACTCGCCGACAACAACACGGCACTCGATCAGCTGTTTGGGTTTATTGATAAAACCGAGACTTCACGGCCAGATGCGGCGTTCGTTGTGGCCGGAGATTTCAACACCGCCAACATGAAGAAGGTTTTGCCAAAATATTTCCAACACATCAACTTCCCGACGCGCGGGGGAAACATACTGGACCATGTTTATTCCCCTTTCCGGAATGGATATAAGGCTCTCCCTCGCCCTCCCTTCGGCAAATCAGACCATATCTCACTACTGTTGTTGCCTGCTTACAAGCAGAAACTTAAAAGGGACAGACCGATAACAAGGACAGTACAACGATGGAGCGAGGAGTCAGATTCAGCACTGCAGGATTGCTTTGCATCTACGGATTGGAGTGTGTTTGAGGACAATAACATCAACACACACACGGACACTGTCATCTGCTACATTGGGAAATGCATCGATGACGTGGTACCGAAGGTTTCTGTACGGACATTCCCAAATCAAAAGCCCTGGGTAAACGGTGAGGTGCGCGGCAAACTGAAAGCGCGCACTCTCGCGCACACAGCGGGAGATTTGGAGGAGTACAGGAAGTCTAGGTATGATCTCCGGAGAGCAATAAAAAATGCAAAGAGACAGTACAAAGAGAAGGTGGAATCTGACTTCAAAGGCTGTAACACTAGGAATATGTGGGCGGGACTAAGGACAATGACTGACTACAAAGGAGCAGCGGGGGGTGCTGCGGGAGTGTCTGCGTGCGCATCTCTCCCAGATGAGCTAAATAGTTTTTTTGCACGCTTTGAGAGCAGCCAGGCTGTGGAGGTACAGAGGGACCAGGAGCTACACTGCCCTTTTGTTTTAAATAGGGCAGATGTGTGTAAATCCTTTAAAAGGGTTAACCCACACAAGGCTCCTGGACCTGATGGCATCCCTGGCCGTGTTCTCAGGGTGTGTGCAGTTCAGCTGGCAGAGGTGTTCACAGACATCTTCAACAGGTCCCTGCTGCAGTCTGTAGTCCCCACATGTCTTAAACACTCCACCATCATTCCTGTCCCCAAAAAGACAATCATCACCTGCCCCAACGACTACCGCCCAGTAGCACTCACCTCCATCATAATGAAGTGCTTTGAGCGGTTAGTCAAATTATTCATCACCTCCTCCCTCCCTGAATCTCTGGACCCCCTGCAGTTTGCCTACAGAGCAAACAGGTCCACAGACGACGCCATAGCCCTCACCCTCCACACTGCCCTCTCACACCTGGACCCGAAGAACAGGAACACATATGTGAGAATGCTGTTCATTGACTACAGTTCAGCATTCAACACCATTGTGCCCTCCAAGCTGGCCATCAAGCTCAGAGACCTCGGGCTCAACAGCGCCCTCTGCGACTGGATCCTGAACTTCCTGACGGGCAGACCCCAGGCAGTGCGGGTGGGAAACATCACATCCTCCACCCTGATTCTTAACACCGGTGCCCCTCAAGGCTGCGTGCTCAGCCCTCTCCTCTACTCCCTGTTCACCCACGACTGCGTGGCCACACACAGCTCCAACACCATCGTGAAGTTTGCTGATGACACGACCGTCATCGGCCAGATCATAGACGATGACGAGACGGCATACAGAGAGGAGGTCGAAAACCTGACATCTTGGTGCCAGGAGAACAACCTCCATCTCAACATCAGCAAAACAAAGGAGCTGATTGTGGATTACAGGAAGCAGCAGGGAGAGGGACACGCCCCCATCGCCATCAATGGGACTACGGTGGAGAGAGTCAAAAGCTTCAGGTTCCTTGGGGTCCACATCACTGAGGACCTGACATGGTCTCTTCACACCACCACCATCACCAAGAAAGCTCGACAGCGGCTCTTCTTCCTCCGCAGGCTGAGGAGGTTCAAAATGGATTCCAGGATACTCTGCAACTTCTACAGGTGCACGATAGAGAGTATCCTCACTGGCAGCATGACGGCCTGGTACGGCAGCTGCACCGACCTCGATCGTAAGGCTTTACAGAGGGTGGTGAAAACTGCACAGCACATCACCAGGACGGAGCTGCCATCCATGGAGGACCTTTACTCCCAGCGGCTCAGGAAGAAATCACTACGGATTATCAAAGACCCCCATCACCCCAGCCACAAACTGTTCTTTCTGTTGCCGTCTGGCAGACGTTACCGCAGCATCCGGGCAAGGACAAGAAGATTCGGAGACAGTTTCTTCCCGCGGGCAGTGAGACTGTTAAACAATTGAACTGTTGAAACAACATCAAACATTCAACTGCTACTCAGTAGTATGTATCTAATACCTAATATATATATATATCATTCCAATAACTTGTATATAGACTCATACTGCACTATTCCACATCATAACTTTATTTCATTTTTATAACTATTATTATTTTTGTATTGCTCTTGCTCTTATTGTTATTATGTTATGTTATTATGTTGCATTGTTGGAGAAGCCTGTGACATAAGATTTTCAACTGCATAATTACTCTGTAGCTATGTCAGATTGACAATAAAGAACCTTGAACCTTGAACCTTGAACCTTGATAGGTTTGTGGGAATAGAGGCGAAGTGATAGGTTTAGCTAGGGAGTGACGCCCCCGATCACTGATTGAGAGGAGAGAGAGTAGTAAGCTGGGAATATGTGAATGAATGAGTAAAGACGGTCTTCCTGGTTGAACTTGCGCTGAGCTTCAGTTGTCTGTTAGATATACAAAGTAACAGCTTTCTTAGAGGTTAACTTTGTTTTTTAACAATGTAAGACACAAAACATGTTTAACATATTTTTGAAATTGGTCCAGTGTTTAGCGAGAATTGGTACTAAACAGGCTGCAATGTAATCGCTCTTGTCAATAGTTACATTACATTACATTACATTACATGTCACTTGTTAGACGCTTTTATCCAAAGCGACTTACATACTCAATACTGTGGGCAATCCCCACAGGAGCAATTTGGGGTGAAGTGTCTCAGGGACACAACGACATGCTGACTGCACCACACGCCTCCCTGTATATAGTTTACCGAGGATGTTCGTGTCGTGTGGAGGCAGAGCAGGGTCGACCCAAATGCAGGACTTACAAGTTTTAAACAGACGAATACCTTAAATTGCAGGAAGCCAGGCAGAAAAACTAAAGTAACAACACTCTCCGATGCACAAGGAAACAAGGATCTGACAACTACTTACAGAAAAACAGAACTTAAATACATGCAACACAAGGACAATTCCCTTTTAAAATCAACAAGTCACAAAGAATTTGCGTCGCTGTTTTGATGCATATTAATAATTATACATGTAGTAAGAAAAAACTAAAGAAGATGACTAGAACATTTCTGCACATGTCTTAAAAGAAAAATTCAGTTTGTACAGAATTTTTTAGCAATGTGCCAACTATTAACAGCATATATACTTAGTAGTAGTCTGTATAAAAGCCTGATACATCGTTTTCCTCTGTCCCATAAAGCTCTACTTTTGTTCATAATCTATTTATTATAACACAGACAATTTCCTTTATTTCCATGAACACACACTATAGTTTATTTTGACTCAATCCACACTAGAGCACCTAATGTGGATAAATCTGTCGGTCAAAATAGTCCCTAACCAATGCATAATCTCTCCTCGTTCATTGATTAAAGTAACAGTGAACAGCTTTTCAAAGAAAGTAGCTGAACTGTTTAAACATTAAATCCTAGATTTGTGTTTTCCAATATTAACATCTTCAGCTGTCAGAAAGCCTTTTGCAGCGTTTGGTCTCTCCATGATATTTCTTGACAACAACATGCATCATTAATATCAGAAAACTATTTGCAGATTTGAGAACAACCACAGTGCATGTGTGTGTCTGAGAGTGGGTTTCAAGTCTCTGCAGTTTGATTTTCATCCTGAAATGAAACCCACAGCATCCTGTGATGTTGGCGCT